CAATTTCTTCGATATCCGGTGGTCTCGCTTATCGCAGAGTCTGAGCAAAAGCCGCCTCAGTAGACAAGGTTCCCTTTTCATAAATTTCGTTGAATCTCACAGCTTCACGCAAACAGTTCTTGAACCCACCCATGGCCGTAACATTTTGGACCTTGTTTTGACGAATAGTCCTCACATCATTGGCAGTACATCAGTACAGGCTCCCTTCTCCACATCAGACCATGCTACGGTGACCTTTACTCTATCGACCATTCATTCCCAACCTGTCTCTAAGCCTATTCTAGATTTCGCTAAAGGGATTATGGATCCATATGCCGTCACCTTCTCGCTGTAGACTGGCAAAATATCTTTAACTCCATGGGATCTATCGACGAATGTTATTTATTCTTTACCAACTTTCTGCCACTCTCTTATATGCCAGTTCGTTCCGCGCGGTCGTAAAACTAAGGGAGACTTCCACGTGCCCCGCTATCTACAAAATATCAAATCTCGAGTTGAACGGTTATTCAAGAATGGTAATTATTTGCGCAATCCACAATACCTGTATTTGTCCCGCTTACTTAAAAAGAATTTAGCAAGGCTTAAACTCAAGCATGAGGAGCGCATAGCTTCCTCTAAGAACGCTAAGAGATTCTGGAGCTACTGTAATTCTAGATTAAAGGAGTCTTCATCAATCAGTGCTATCGTGTCGTCTACTGGTTCTGTGTGCACATCTGACTATGAGAAGGCTGACCTTTTTGCTACATACTTTGAGACTTTTTACAAAAAGGATGTTACTCGGACAGTAGACGACTTAGACGGCTCACAGTTGACCGGACAGACTCTTGATTGGGTGGATATCAATTACGAAAATGTTTTCCGCACCCTGAATAAGCTTCCTCTTCGATGCTCTACTTCACCTGATGGGTTGCCGTACATCTTTCTCAAAAAATCTGCTGAAGCTATCACTCCTGCTTTGACTCATCTTTTCCGCAGAATACTTTTGAGAGGGGAAGTGCCATCCATCTGGCGTCTGGGACTGGTTAGGCCAATATTCAAGAAAGGGAGCAAGAGTGATTTCAAGAATTGGAACTATTCAACTATTACTACCCCAGTTTTGCGAAA